CTGCTTGCATGAATCTTAGGGTGACCAGATGTCCCAATTTTGCAGGGACAGTCCCGATATTTGGGGCTTTTTCTTATATAGGCTCCTATTACCCCCCACCTCTGTCCCGATTTTTCACACTTGCTGTCTGGTCACCCTAATGAATCTGCACCACTCAGGAGTAAAAGATGCAAAACCCAGCGCTTTTATTTGAAAGGATATTTATCAAAATCTTTGTAGAGAGGTGAAGTGTGTAATGTAGCTCTCCTGTCTTATTTTAGTAAAGTCCATTTGTGTGGAGGGTTGGTTATTTATGAAAGTCTCCAGGTTGGAGAGCTCTTTTTTTATGTTTTCCTGTTTACTGCTTGTTCTCCTACAGGTTTTTGTATATTGCCATTCCTAATATCTGACTTGTGTCCATTTATCCTTTTACATAGGGACTGTCCAGTTTGGCCGATGTACATAGCAGAGGGGCATTGCTGGCACATGATGGCGTATATAACATTGGTGGACGTGCAGGTGAATGAACCGGTGATGTTGTAGCTGCTCTGGTTAGGTCCTGTGATGGTGTCACTGGTGTAAATATGTGGGCAGCGTTGGCATTGAGCTTTGTTGCATGGATTGGAGTTAGAGTTGCTATGGTGTGGTGTGTGGTTGCTGGTGAGAATATGCTTAAGGTTGGCGGGTTGTCCATGGGTGAGGACTGGCCTGCCTCCCAAGGTCTGTGAAAGCAAGGGATCATTGTCCAGGATGGGTTGTAGATCACTGATGATGCATTGGAGAGGTTTAAGCTGAGGACTGTAGGTGATGGCCAGTGGAGTTCTGTTGGCTTCTTTCTTGGGCTTGTCTTGCAGCAGGAGGCTTCTGGGTACACGTCTGGCTCTGTTGATTTGTTTCTTTATTTCCTCGTGCGGGTATCGTAGTTTTGAGAATGCTTGGTGAAGATCTTGTAGGTGTTGGTCTCTGTCTGAGGGGTTGGAGCAAATGCACTCTCAAAACTACAATACCCATACGAGGAAATAAACTCTTTAGATTTGTTCGAATAATCCCATACACCATTGGCCACAATATGCCAAAGGCAACGGCTTTTTCCCAGATCCAGCCCTGTCCCATTACATACCCAACATCAATGACCTTTTCCCTCCACCGCACTTATCCATTTAGATACATTTATTTCCACTGCTTCCCAAGTGTCATTGCTGTTCCATGTTTTGTTTAAATGGACAAGGTCCTCCAGTGAGGTCTGGGGAATTGAGTGGGATTGCCAGGACAGGAACACCAGCTTGAGAGTGGGCTGGGATGTGGATGCAGACCCAGCAATTAGAAATATTAAGGGTCTGAGCTATCCACACTTGCTGCTGGATAAAAGAATTGTCATTGTGGACTCCCCAGACCTTAAGACACCAGCAGCCAAGGAACAGGCGCCACCAGAGGTGCATGTTGGAGGCAAGACCCTTCTGGTTCTGACAACCTCAACTGAGGGAACTGCAGTCACAGTTTTACATCCACCAGGCAGCAGCAGAGACCATCCCCTCCTTTCCGACATGTGAAACACCATGTAGCAGGGCGGCCAGTGATGGGTAGAGTGAAAAGGGGGCCACAAAGGCACCAATAGGCGAACGCCAAAGGGAATCAGGATGTAGAGAGCAACCCTGGGCAACCCAGGAGTCCTTTTTGGCTTCTGGGGCAGAGTCTTGGAGTAGGGTGAGGTTAGTGAGGGATGGCGATGGTATAGAAACAGAAAGGGAACCTAGGAATGCATCTGGGGAAGGTTCTATGGCAGCAGCATGTTTAGCAGAGGCGTCAGCAAATGTGTTACCCTTAGTAACATCAGTATCCGCCATCGAATGGTCAGGGCACTTAACAATAGCTAGGGCAGACAGAAATAAAAATGCATACAGGAGAGCAGCGATGTAGGGGCCATTTTTGATAGGGGTACCGGCGGAGGTAAGGAAACCCCAAGCTTGCCAGAGGGTGCCAAAGTCATGTACAACCCCCAAAGCATAGCGGGAGTCAGTGTAAATGGTGGCGGAGCATCCCTCTGCCAAAAAGCAGGCACGGGTGAGGGCAACTAATTCGGCAACTTGCGCTGAGGTTACAGAAGGAAAAGGCGCAGCTTCTAGAGTTTCAGAGAGCGACACTACAGCGTATCCTGCAAGGAGACGACCTTGGTTGTCTCGAAAACAGGAACCATCAGTAAACAAAACAAGGTCAGAGTTAGGGAGAGGGACATCAGAAAGGTCAGAGTGCAGGACGGTAACAGCAGAGACAGTTGCAAGGCAGTCGTGGGGATCACCATCATCAGACAAAGGAAGGAGAGTGGCAGGGTTTAACTGAGAACAACGCTTTATGGTGATATACGAAGCCGACAGCAGTAAAAGTTCATACCTGGTAAGGCGGGCGGAGGAGAGGTGGCCTGTGTTACATTGTAGCAGGAGGGTTTCCACAGAGTGAGGTACCATGAGGGTCAGAGGAGAGCAGAGGACAAGGGATTCGGACATTTCGACTAGGCGCGATGCGGCAGCGACAGCATGCAGGCAGCGGGGTAAGCCTTGGGCAACAGGGTCCAAAGTGGCAGAGAAATAAGCCACTGGGCAGTTTTTGTCTCTGTGCATCTGAGTGAGGACTCCCAGTGCACACCCAGATTGTTCGTGGCAGAAAAGGGTAAAAGGCTTAGAATAGTCAGGTAGCTCTAAGGCGAACCCTGTTTGAGGAAAACAGGCAGAGTCGTCCTCAGGGGGCCACAGCATGGGGTCAGGCACAGAGACTCGAGTGAGTTCCTGGGGAGGTTTTGCAAGGGAGGCATATTGGGGAATCCATTGCCTGCAAAATCCAGCCATGTCCAAAAACTTTCGGACCTGGCATGGGGAGCGGGGTCGGGGAAAACTGAGGATAGCTTGGACGCGGGTGGGAGAAAGTGTACGGTAACCCTGGGAGAGGAGAAAGCCAAGGTATGTGACAGAGGCCTGACAGAGCTGTAGCTTAGAGCGAGAAGCCTTGTGACCCTTCTTTGCTAGGGCAGTAAGGGGTACTAAAGAATCAGTTTCTGAGGCAGACAACGAAGGGGAACAGAGGAGTAGATCATCTACATATTGGACTAGTGTGGACCTGGATGGAAAAACAAGGTCAGCAAAGTCTCGTGCTAATGCTTGGGAAAAGTAAGATGGGCTTTCTGTATACCCCTGAGGGAGCATGATCCATGTGTGCTGCTGCCCCTTGTAAGAAAAGGCAAAAAGATACTGGGAGTCAGGGTGAACCGGGACAGAAAAACCAGAAGCACAAATCAACAACAGTAAAGCGAGTTGCACCTGGTGGGATAGAAGCCAGAATCGTTGCTGAGTTAGGGACAACAGGAAAGGCGGGTATAACAATGCGGTTAATGGTTCGAAGATCCTGAACAAACCAACACGATTTACCATCAGCTTTTCGAACTGGGAGGATAAGGGTGTTACAAGGGCTGGAGCAGGGGACAATAATGCCTTGTTCCCGCAGGGCGGTCATGACCGGAGCAATGCCAGCCTCTGCTTCGGGGTTTAAAGGGTATTGAGACAGGCGAGGCAGGGATTTAGAGGAGTCAACAGTAATGCAGACTGAGTCAGCATTTTAG